GTTTTAAAAGTGGGCATGATTGAAAATTGTGTTTGGAATTGTTTAGTGGGCTGAGATTTGAGTCTAGCAATTGGATGGAAATGGGTTTTGAAAAGTAATTCAGAAATGTGGTATTAAGAATATAACCACGTAAATTGCAATTTCGACCAAGTTAAGGCAATTGGTTGAATTCGGCCAAAATTAAAATAAGATGAATTAACATAATTAGTTAACAAGCTTCTTAATTTTAACAAAACAAATTAATAAACTTAATTATAAACTAACTAGTTTAAAAATATAAAATATTACTTAAACCAAACTAATTGGCACGATATTTACGTAAAACTAATTTACTTATTTTTTTTAGACGATTTTTGAATATTCATGAAATATACTAATTATATACATAATTATGTAAATCATATATATTATTTAATTTTTTTTATAAAAAGTGACAAAACTATTTAAAATAACTTGCAAACTATATTTATTTATTTTGAAATTTTTATAAAACTAATTATTTTAAATTGTTTGAAATTGAAGAAGCTTGATGATTAATTTATATTGTGGAGGGTCAAAATTGGGTGTCAACAACCGTCAGTCCCATCCGTAGGTCACTCCGACAGCAGTTAATTCAGGGGTCCTTTGGTCTTTTTCTATTTCATTTAACCCCTAAGATACGTCGTTTAGGCCCTAAATCATGAGGTTTTAGTCAGTTTAAGCCTAGAAACATAACTAGAATTTACCTAAGTCAAATCATTAATCAAAACTTAGAAAAATTAGAGCGTAAGAGAAGAAGAGAGGTCAAGAACCCTAATTCAAGAACGCAGCAAGTTTCCTTTAGTCCCAGCCCCGAAATCGTAGAATTTCTCTGTGGAATTCGTCACCAGGTATGTGGGATTTCACTAGTGGATTCGTTTCTCCCGTTAGGTCCCTAGAATTCAGTCAGATTCTTGATTCCATGATTATGAACAGACCTAGGGTTTCTAGAACTTCAACAGATCATCATTAGTTAGTTAAATGTTCCAAATCAGATTATCATGTTATTGCTCAGTTTCTCGCATGAATTTCAGAACCCTAGCTTGAGTCTTTGATCCCAAGCGTCGATTTCCCCTTCCCTCTTTTGGAATGGGGCAAAAATCGCAAAAAAAGTATGTTTACCTTAATTGGTGAAAGATCTTTGGATTTGGAATTTCAATTTGGGCCTTTGTCCTCACCTGAAATCAGGTCTCCCCTCCATTTTTCGGAACCCTATTTCCTTGCTATATAATGGCCCTTATTCAGGAAAATGAGGAGGATTTTTTTTTTTTGA